AAGGCCCATTTGCGTTAAAAGCTTTTAGGCTCATTAACACATAACTTGGGCCAATTCCAATTTAAAACATGGGACCACACTTTATGTATGGATCCATACATAATTACTCTTTAAGCCTTATATAAAATCTTTTTGGGTCGATTAGATAATGGGCCACACTTAAGTCATACGGGCCAATAATAATAATAATAATAAAAGAAAGCCCAACAATATATGTATAGGACTTTTCTTTTACAATTTCAAGCCCATTGGTGGGGTTTTTGTTTTCAACTGTAAGTCTTAATCAAGTCTGATTCACAAAAATATGTCCCAATCAATTAAAAATGGCTTGAACATTGCAACCCCAAGCCATTTCTTGAGCTCACAATGCTCAATGGAGCACTTAAGTCCTTAAGTTTGTTGGACTGGGAGCAGGTTATTAAGATACTCCCAATCACAACTTAAAAAAAATAATAATAAAGAAGAAAAAAAATGACTTTCTTATAAGCCCAGTCTGTCCTTTTAGTGGGCTGAAACATTTTAATAATGAAAGGGGCCTGCAGTCTAATTTAGTGAACAATAGGCCCCAAATTAATTGGGCTTATTTATAATGCAATAAACATTTAATGGGCCTGTAATAGAGTCTATTTAATGGAAAAGTAGGCCCTAAAAGAATAAATCAATTTTGATTAATTTCTTATGAGGTGTCCCACTTATTCATGAGGAGATGCCACTTGTCCTATTCTAACAAGAGGACTATTTTCCTTTCTCTAACCACTTGAAGTGGGGGAACACATGTCACCCTATAGAAAAGGATTTATTTTCCTTCCTTTAACCACTTGAAGTGGGGGGACACATGTCACCCTAGGGGAGAGAAAGTTATTTTCCCTCCTCTAACCACTTGAAGTGGGGGGACACATGTCACCTTAGGGAAAATGATTTATTTTCCCTCCTTTAACCACTTGAAGTGGGGGGACACGTCACCCTAAGGGAGAGAGAGTTATTTTCCCTCCTCTAACCACTTTAAGTGGGGGGACACTTGTCACTTTAGAAATGAAGAGTTTTCTTTTCCCTCCTTAACCCATTTTAAGTGGAGTGATACTTGACACTCTAAGAAGAGAGGAGTGGGGAATTAACCACCTACCTCCTCTATATAAACCCCTCTCCTACAAGGAGAAGGGGCTAATGCCTTTTTATTGGCTAATACCAATTGATTTATAGGATTTCTAGCATTAAGAAATAAGTGGGAAGAGAAAAGAGAAGAAGATTGGTGTGGAGAACATAAAAGAAAAAGAAAGAAGAAGGTACGGAATCTGGTTTCCTTCCTATACCTTGTGCTTCCCACATGAGATGGAAGACCATATTCTATTTATCCCTCTCACTCCTTTCCTTTTTCCTTTTATTTTTCTTTTCTTCCTTTTTTCATATTGAAATACATGTAAGGAGAACCATTTACAGCTTTATTCATGAAACTTGGTTGATTGTGGTTCCTTACAACCTATTAACCTATGTGTGAAGGGAAAAATCATCTACAGCATTGTTCATGAAACTTGGCTGATTATAGTTCCTCACAACATGATAATGCACACCACAATTTAAAGGTCATTTGAAGCCTTATTTATGAAACATGCTTTTTATGATACCTATTTACTTGTTTTGCATGCAATGTTCATTTCTTTATATGCTAGTTTTCTCTCAAACAAAGAGAGAATATATACCAAAATTTTCAAAGAAAAATTCTATAGAAAAATGATACTTAGCCTTTATTTATTAGTCATTCTGAATCAGAATCAAAAGGTTTTATCTGCCACTAGCAGAGATGTAATTAAGAGAATATCTACGTGATTTCTTGAATGGGGCTTACCCAAATAACAGAAAACCTAGTTATTAGTCTAATTGGGTGCATTATGTTATGTGAGAAATTATGTTAAAAAACTTCCACTAAGAGATGGTCATATACACTCATTTTCCAAACAAACAAAAGTTATGGTGGGTAGGTGAATAGTGATCAAAATATCATTTTATGTTTTCACACATAGACTTTGATTCTTTCTTTCTATCATTGTCAAATCTGTTGATAAGAATCCCAATTTGTACATGATATACAATACAAGTAATATCAGTTTTTATGGGAACCAATAGTGAATGATGAATGATGTGAGTAAAAGTAATGTTTGGTATCATTTCTATTTTCACCTGAAACTGGGTTAATCAATACAAAATTAGCATAGAACTACTATTTAAGGTTGTGTATAGTTGAAATAGGCATTATTATTATAGTTGTTGCTACATCCCTTACAAAATGCATAGTTTGGCTCAGCCAAGTTTCTTGCACATGGACAAAATCTGAACTGTATCAATAGGATAAGGATTTAAGAGCTGAAACAAATTGCTTTTGCCAAAGATATACAATAAATATGACAACTGGTACTCACCCAAATATGATACTATTAATACAATAGGATAAGGATCTACTAGAACAATTAATCTAACCTCCAATTTTATTTTTTATTGCATCTTTAAATGGCATATTACTTCCTATTTGTGAAATTGTGTCTTCAACAAATTGGGATTTTGACTAAGGGTATGGAAATCCATGCCCATCTTTAGAGAGTCCACATGTTGATGTGGTTTCTGCATTCATTTCAGAAATGGAAATTGTTAACATTGAAAAAAAAAAAGCTACTTCTAGATTTTAAGTTGTCATGAAATCCAAGAAATTCCAAAATCTAAGTATCTCCTCCATTCCAAAATTTTTGGAATACAGTAATTAAATGGTTGCTTTGGGATCTTAGCAAACACATACCAAACCCATCCTAATAGGGGGTAAAGTGGAAACCCCATTTAGCAAACAAAAACAAGGATGAACAGCCATAGAACTAAATTACGACTTGGATCTATTTGGAAAAATTGGAAACGTCATATATGAACAATCATAGAATTGGAAACTCAAACAAGCATGAGAAAAAACCATAAAGCACACAAACCAAACTTTGAACCTAATTAATAGAAATCTATCATTAGCTGGTTGAGAAAAGGAAACAAGCTTCTCATATCTAAAAAAGGAGGATAAGATGAGAATAAAATCTACAACAGACCAAGGTTTTCCCTTCAAATGCTTGAAGAAAAAGGGATTTGCTGTGAAGCTTTGGACAACATGGTTGAACCTCGCTTTTGATAGGGTAGGTAACCTAAAAACTAGAAACAAAAACAAACAAAACAATTGATAAGTAGATCTAACCTGTATTGCAATATTGGATGCAAATTTTTCATAAATATAAGTATATCGAAACTAGATAGTAAGAATAGAAATTATTGTTGATATTGAGTTCCATCATATGAGGAAGAAGCAACATATGGCTTAGATCTCAGTCAAAGTCGCAAGATCTACTAACGTCTTGGCCAAATCCTTAGTTTTTTTAAGTCTGTGATGGTAGATTTCGTAGTTCAAACAGAGCCATTGTCGTCTCTTTCTAAGGGTTTCAGTCGAGAATTGAAGCAAACCATCTGCCTCTTTCCTTCGATTGTGAATGAGAGTATAGTTTGCTTTGATATTTTTGGAGAAAACTCAGTTCTCATTCTCGAGGCAAAACTTGACACATGTACATAATTGTATCATTTATCGATGCAAATTCATATTCGTACCAAACGGATGCAAATCTGAACCGGAATACAAATTTGCAAAGATTCAGCATTTGCTCTCCTTCCAAACGCAGCCTAGAGTACACTGTCCAGCCCCAACCCTTCTGTCAAAGAAGTAATATTCAATAAACTAATATAACATGATAGAACTTTTGACTGGCATCAATCTTTGATAAGTAGAGGTGCATACGGCCGTGCCTTGGGCAGCCAGTTCCAAGCCCATCCCTAGACTATATATTTTAAATTTTTAATTAGTCTAAATAAAGCCCAAGCCCAGGAAAGAAGCCGGTAAATGGAGCCCAAACCCAGCATAACAGACATGATTGACCAATCAAAGACCTTCACATTTTCAAATAAACAATTGGATAAATTCTATTGTATGTCTTGTTGTAATGTGGAAACAACAGGCTGTATTCAGTCTTGATCTGCAACGTTTACAAACATGCTCCTGCATCACATTTATCATTTCATGTAGCATATTTGTATTAAGGTGGCCTTTGATAAATCTGAAATCTGAAATCTGAAAAGTTAAAAGATATTATTTGTGAGGAGACACCAAACGGGTCTGAGGTCTGAAAAGCAACGTTTTTCAGACCTCAGATGTCTGAAAAGTTCTATCAAACGCCACCTAAGTCTTAAAGATTTCACTACTCCAAATTATCTAGTAAATTTCTTTTTGATGAAATCTAACAATAGCCTTCATAGTCTCAGATTGACTATGCGTCGTTACCATTTTTTTTGAGATTTTTAGACTGTACTCCACTTTAGAATTCTGATTTGAACTGCAGACCTACAACAATTCAAAATTTAAAATAACTCCACTTATAGCACTCATACCCGCCCTTGAATTGGCATTGATTCAGAGCTGGCAGCACGGTGGCACCTACCCCAACTGTACAGCAATCATTCATCAATCAACAAAAACAGGGTGAGTACAGAAGACTGCCTCCTCAGATATTAAAGAAACAATACAACTAGGAGGAGAGTCAGTAGTACTGTGCAAGAGAGTGAGCAAGTCTGTGTGAAACCCTGATTAAATTCTCCATCTTGAAGACTTAAATTACTAAGCATCTAAACTGTAAAGCATCAAAGCACCCTCTTCTGTGGTCTGTAATGAAATGAAGCAAAGAAAAAATAAAATATCTCAAAAAACCATTCAACCTAAAAGCTTAAGCTGTTAGGTGAAGTACCTAAATAGGTATTTTATTATCTAACGCGTCCAATTATGCAAAATCCCACCAGGGTTGAAGCAAGGACAAACACAGCCCTACCTATACTTTGTGCTGAAATTTAATTAATTATAACAGGGCAACATACCACTTGGTCAAACAGGTTCCCATACCATCTCAAATAATCATTCAACCTAAAAGCTTAAATTGTTGGATGAAATAACTAAATATGTATTTATTCTCTAACACAAAAAGAGGTTAATCAAACCCGGCACTATTTACAAAAATACATACTTAACAAAATAAATACTCAATTCACTGCACTCATATCTTGCTGAAACAGATAGCGGAAAATAATGGATATAACATGAACGTCTACATGCATGGTTGCAAGATATTTGATTAATACATAACAAAATTGTGGAAGCAGACTCAGAGTTTGGAGGTTGCCAACTTTATGAGATCCTTCCTGAGAATCTTCCCAGATGGGTTCTTGGGGATGGCATTCACAAATGCAACTCTTCTTATTCTCTTGTATGGAGCCACCTGTTTGTACAATAACAATAATACAAGTCATCTACAAAATTACTTGAGCTAAAAAGCAAGTGGGTAGTGGGTGTATTAATTAATTAACAAGAAAGTTAGTGTTTAGTACTTCCAGACTATCCCAGTTGTAGATTTTAGCTTCGAAGACATGCATACCTGTCTAGCCACAAAGTCCATGACATTGCTATCAGACAAATCACTTCCAGCTTTTCTTACAACATATGCCATAGGAATTTGTCCAACCTCCTTATCTGGAAATCTGAAAGACGGCAAGGCATTTGTTATTTGTTATTCCAAGTAGTTTTCTTTTTTAATGGCAAATAAAAGAAAAGAAGGCTTACGGTATGACAGCAACATCAGCAACTTCGGGGTGACAAAGCAACAATGCCTCTAGTTCTGCTGGGGGGACCTGCCACACCATTATTTTGCCAAAGTATGATGATGCGAATTGAAAGGTTCTCTTAGAAAACTAGAATCTGAAGCAACTACAACAAAAATCACAATGGATCCTCTCCAAACAAGAAATTAGAGCAATTACTCTCATCTTATACCATTAAAATTAAGGGGGAATGACTGTTCAGTACATTCTAAGAATTCTTAACTTTACAGTACAGTTGGGGTAGGTGCCAGTTTGGAATTGATGTCAATACATGGGCGGGTTTGATTTTTTATGATGGAGATATTTATCATTTTGAATTGTATAGAATTGCAGTGGAATTCAGAATTTTACAATGTAATGCAATATACTTTTCCATAAAACAGTATTACCAAACTAATAAGTTGTCATGCCTCCTCCTCTTTAAATTAATTAAAAAGAAAAAGAAAAGGACAGCTCTCTGTGTGAAAGAAAGTAATGTCAATATTCACCTGGTAACCCTTGTACTTGATTAGCTCCTTCAATCGGTCTACAATGAAGATATATCCATCCTCATCAATGTAGCAAACATCTCCGGTTCTTAACCATCCCTCAGAATTCAGAGTTGATGTAGTTGCTTCAGGATTGCTAAAATAACCTGCAAATACAGCATTCACCCAACAGAGTGTCCTCAGTCATTTTATCCACATTTTATTAACTAATTACAATAATATTGGGAGACTGTAAAGTGGAGTTTTCAGGTCTTCCAAGCTATACAATACAGGTCTTAATTCCTTTCCTTTCTCTAACATCACTCACTCCTTACATTGCATTTTCAAAAGGAACTGGGTAACTTATTTATACCTACCCTGAGGTTTTAGTCAAATACTTGTACCCCCTCCCCCTCGGGCAGATTTAGGGGGTGTCAATGGACTGGTTTTGGGTTGGAATCCGTTCAAATTAAATCAATTTGGATGGATTGGATAGATCAACAAGACATTAAAGAGCAACTTTTTTAAACCATCCTTATGGTTTAATTAATTGATTAACTCTATCCTTACTGTTCACATATTGTCTTAAGTACCCTTGCTATTTTTAACAATTCACATGTCATTAAATGCTAACTAAAGAAATGAAATACCGAATTTTCCCTCCACTATTCCTTAAATTTTCAAAATAAAACCCAACTGATAAAATAAATCAAAATGAAGAGGAAACTGATCAGAGCTCCGACGATGATGAGACTCTAAACCTAAGTGGAGACATGGCCTGACGAGCTATCTCTTGATCGAAAGCAAATGATGAGCTTCACTCCATTGGGTTATTTCTCTCTTGGCTGATGATTGATGTGGATAGATCTTTTGTAATGGGTGTCTTTGGCGTGCTGAAAGAATTCTGATTTCTTGAAGGTGGAAACTTTATTGTTTATCAGTCGAGGAATGCTGAAGATTGAAATCTTGGTATGCTATGATGATTCGGATGTGAGTTTTTTATTTTCGAATCCTCCTTGATTTGATGGAACGTAGTTTTTTTAGGCCACTCTTTTTATTTCTCCAATTGAATTTGATCGAAAGTTATTGGTGATAGCACTCTAATATTGGATTTCGGAAATTTTAAGATTTTTGAAACACAGAGATCAGTACTAACGGGGACCTTTTATTTTGAGTATATTTTCTGAATACATATGGAGAATCAATTGTAAATGGTGAGGCAGAGGAAACCGAGAGTCGGAACAGCTGGGACAGTCAGGAGAACTCTGCTGAAACCTCTATCAAGGAAACCCGTTTGATATCGTTTGCCCCAAATCAGGTATGATAATTCTAAACTAGGGGTGAACATTATTTGGTTAAAATCGAATCAAAAATTTTGATTTTGGTATTTTGGTTCGGTTATTTCAGTTTTATAAAATTTCGGTTTCCGTTTTCAGATTTAGAAATTCGATTAACCAAAAAATCAAATTTTATTATCTATAATATATATATTAACATATAATGCATATATAATATGTAAAAAATATATTATATTATATTATATTATGTATTAAAATATATAATTTATTATATACATTTTATAATATATAGTATTGAAATTCAGTTTAAACCAAAATAACCGAAAATTTCAGTTTCAATTTGGTTTTTCATTTAAAACTTTGATTTATTTGGTTTGGTTTTTAACCAAATAAACTGTTTGCTCACCCATATTCCTAATTGATAAGAAACCAAAGAGAAAAGCATAAGAATTAGAAGAGAAGAGGGGTTTCAGATTCCGACGAAGTCAAGTGCCCATTGCCCAAATCTGAAGGAGTAGGGGTTCTTATCATCATCGCTCTGTTCTTCATGTCAAAGTTGATGACAATGAACAGTTCAAGAAGGGTATTTTAGGAATTAAAAAAAATTATCAATTACGTGATGTCACATGTGAACGGAGTGTAACAGAGCGTAGCGGAAAATTAACGGCAAGGGAGGTTTTAAACAATTATCAAAAACAATAAGAGTACTTTAAGACAATATATAAACAGTAAGGATAGAACTAGTCAATTAGCTAAACCATAAGAGAAATTTAAGAAATTTGCCCAACATTAAATTGGACAATTCCAAAATTGATAGCCTAAAGTATTTATTGGATTGGATTGGACGTGATCCATCCATAATAGATTTATATTGGATTGGGTCAGATTGAACCAATATTTGATCCATTGATAGAAGATAAGAAAACGGGTGTCAATTGACCAGGTTTGGATTGAAACAAATCTAAACTAAAACCAATTTGAGCATATTGGATGGTCCAAACTGAGGGATGCAAACAGATTGGATCCGATATATTCAAATCTGATCTTACTCAAATCCGATCCAAAACACTATAAATCTGATCTGATCATATCTCATAAATACTTATTTGAATTCGAATCTGATCAAGATGTCAGATATCCGAATCAGATCCTATCCAAATTAATATTTAAAAAAATAATAATAAATTATTAAAAGGAAAGGAAAATATAAATGTTTAAATAAAGAAAAACAAAATATATAAGTATTTTTCAATTATTTTCATCAATATATATATGTTTTTATAAAAAACAAATAATATAAAATTTACAAAATACACTATAAATAATATATTTATAAATAAATAAATAATATATATACATCGGATCGGATAAAGGTGATCCGAATCCAATGCAAACATCCGAAAGAGGGATATCCAAATCCAACAATATAGGATCGGATCATTTTGGATCAAACAAGGGTGATCTGAATCCTATGCAAAAATCCAAAACAGGGATATCTGAATCCAACAAGGGTGATCTGATCCAATCCATTTACACCACTCCAGACATTGAAATGGATTGATCCAAAATGATCAAAAGTGTTCATCGGATGAGATTGGACCAGATCCATTTGTAATACATTCATATTGGACCGGATTAAACGAAATCCTATCCAAATCCAATCCAACTGACACCCTACGTGACAGAGGCATAGACCACAGGTTTATCTAATAACTCATACCCCCCCCCCAACCCCCAACCCCCAACCGTCCAGCAGCTATAGAGGCTTTGTTAATTGAGGAGCCCATGCCCATGGTCAATTGGTCATTACTCGTTAACAAGTTTACAAATATTTGGCAAATCACGTCACTTGCGCAAGTCAAGGAATCAACATTGTCGAACTCAGCCAATGGATCCGGATCTTTTGGGATTTATATTCCAATCTCGATAGGATCCCCCGTCTGAGTTCTCCAATCCAATTTTTCTACTCAACTTTCAATTCAAGCACTCGCAGAAAAGAATTAAAGAAGAGTGGATTATAAGAGGAGTGTTGCTTTTTGCCTTTTACCTTTCATAACGCTGGGACCACGAAGCCAAAGCTCACCCGTACGGTTCACTGGCAACGCCTCTCCAGTCTCCGGATCAATGATCTTTGCTTCCATGTTCGGTGACAATAATCCTGCCGTACCGTACCGTCTGCTCTCCTCCACCGTATCCGTGGACGCTCCAATTCCCGCCGTCTCCGTCAGCCCATACCCTTGAAGAATCTTCACCGTTGGATACTTCTCCAAGAACCCCTCGATCACTTCCTTACTCAATGGGGCCCCACCCGACAACACTGACTGCAGCGTCCCTATATCGTATTTTGCCCTTATCACGTCGGCGTTGTTGATTAACGCCACCAGTATCGGTGGAACTAGAGGCAAATAGGTTACTCGGTACCTGGAGATCGCAGAAAGCATTTCGTGCATATCGAACTTCGACAGCACCACTATTGTCGATCCAGAAGCCAGTAATCCCGTCGCGAACGCTGCCAGGCCGTAGATATGGAACATGGGGACCGTACAGACGAACGTGTGCGGTCCACCCCTGCTATCTGCCTCTTCCAACTTGAAACGACCCAGAATCGTCTGAACCATTGCGATGAGGTTCCGATGCGACGACACCACGCCCTTACTGGCACCGGTAGTACCAGAAGAGTAGAGCAGGGTCGCCGTGTCGTCTTGGCAGACTCGGTCCTTGACTCGGCTGTCATTAGGTTCCTTCTTCATCATGTTCTCCAAGGAAGAAACTATTTTGATTCTGCTAACATTTGCCCCTCGTCCCGTCTCCGAGTCGTGACCTTCTCCGATGAGAACGATAGGGAGATCCATGCCGGCGAATTTAGGGAGGAGAGAATGGGTGGTGAAGGCGAGAACTGGCTTGGAATCAGCGATCTGCTTACGAATTTCTTGGGTGGTGTTGAGGGGGTTGGTCGTGGTGATGATAGCGCCGAGGGACATGACGGAGAGACAGATCACGGGGAAGAAGATGGAATTGGGGGAGAGGAGGAGGACAACATGGCCTTTGCGGATTCCCAGGTCGGAGAGGCAGGTGGCGACGGAATCGACGGCTCGCCAGACTTCCGAGAAGGTAAGGTGGCGTCCAGTGGATGCATCAACGAAGGCGATCTTCCCATGGTGGGCGCGGGAAGAAATGAAGGTGGTGATGTCGAGGGATTCGTTAGAGGGGAGAGCTATGGGTTGTCGCTTACTGTAGAAGACGGAATTCGATCTGCTGAACCCGCTTCTGGAATCGATCGACATATTATTTTGCGCCATCAAGCTCTAGGGTTGGGATTTCAACTTCTACTTCTCCTTCTTCTGTTCTTAGAGTCGAGAGTGTGAATGTACAAGCGGAATGCAAAAGTCATCAAAATTCAAGGCGGTCAATAGTCGCCCTGTATATAAACGGCCAATTGGCCAAAGATAATAGTTAGTGGATTCGCGTATTATATAAGAAGTCACAACGAATTTCACGATAGGATTGGTGTCGGTTACCTGATTGTATTATGCTGGCCGTTTGATCAAGACGTTACGACTCGGATGTTCAACAGTGTTGGCCGGTCCAATGAGTTAGAGTAGTCCTGATCAAATATGAATGAATGGCTAAATTGTAGATATCCTGAGTTTCGAGTCCTGACTTGCGGGTATTCACGTTTTTCTTCTCAGTTCCCAAAGTTTGAAGTTTGAACAGGCTTGCTTTTCACATGCTGAAATAAGCAGGGGCAGGGTGTGATGTGGAGAGTAAACAGCCGTCGGTTAGAAGATTCTTCCTTCGTGGAAGGAGCAGACAACCGGCGTCGGCCGGCCTCTGACTCTTGGTATCACGTCAAACTTTTTAAGATTCTCCCAAAGGTCTGCTTTTGGCATTCCTTATTTTAACGATAACGATTTATCTCTTTTTCCAGTTAAAAACTTAAAAATGCGCGTATTCAGAGTATTGAGTTTTTAACAGGGGTGTGCAAATGAACCGATCATAATCCTATCGAATTCGAATCACCTCAACTCAGATCTTTGGATCGGATATATGGTATATATTTATTTATATAAATATATAATACATATATATTATTTATTTATTTATAAATATATTATTTATATTGTATTTTTATAAATTTATTATATTATTTATTTTTTATAAAAAATATATATATAATGAAAATAATTAGAAAAGATATTTATATTTTTTGTTTTTCTTTATTTAAATTAATATATTTATTTGTATTAATTTTTAAAGAAAATAAAATTCAAATTTAGACCCATGCCTATCAGATTTGAACGAATCGGATATGCAATTAATAGTGTCAGATTAGATTATGATATACCCTTATTCAAATCCAATCGGATTTGTTTGTATCCTTACTTTTAAACAACAAAAAGGACATAAATCTTTAAAAAGGAATGCCAAATGCGGCCTTATATAAAAGTTTAAAGGCGGAGGAAAAACAAATTTAGGAGGCTGTTTGACAGGTTTTTTTAAGTAGATGTTTCAACAATTGAATAGGCAAGAAGATGCATTGACTTTTTGGGTCTTGTCTTTAAAGATAAGACTCTTTGGTTCGTATCATGGTCTACTGGGCTGTTAAAAACAGATGTGAACGCTATTTTCAATGGGAAAAGATCAAAAAAATTCATTTGAAACTTCCTGATTTTCAACTTTTTCCATCTTTCTATATGCCCGTTTTCAGGCCTTTTGATCTACACATGATGTCAAAGAGAAAAAAAAAAAAAGACTACTTTTTGGTATTTTCAGCTTTCTCTATACTATAAGACATGCCAAACACCACCCAGGGTCTTTCGTGTAAATTGTGAACCAAGATTTTTAAAACCGACTCGGAAAATGAACCGGTCAAGAGTCTGGTTTTTTGGTCGAATGGTCTGATCATTCAAATTGAACGGTTGGCCCATTCTGACAAAAAAATAAAAAATGGTCAACTGTTGAACGATTGAATGGTTCAACCGCTCGGGTCAGTAGTTTGTTGACCAAATCAACGATTTTTTACCAAAATCCAGTTTTTGCAAAAAAACAGAACCGGTCACCTATCCGGTTCCCAGTTTTTCCAGTCCAACCAAGTCTAGTCCAGTTTTGAAAACCATGCTATGAACAAAAGCAAAATCGAAAGTTTAGGTCTTTTCATGTAAATGAATAAAGGCTACCAAGGTCAGATTCAGTGAACTCGTCAATTCACGGGGAACATGAGTCAACACTATCTTTCTTATATGAATTCATTTGAACTCCCCTTCCCTAGGGGTGAGCAAAAAAACTGAAAATTCGGTTAAGTGAACCGGTTGGTTCGGTTTTGGTTAATCAATACAGAAAACCGACGATTAACCGAACCGACTGGTATACATATATTCCTATATATTTTATATCTATTTATGTATATTATATATATTTTTTATATACTATAAATTAATAAATATGCATTATATATATATATAAATATATATTTATAATATATGATATATTATTTATTATTTAAAATATAATATTTTATATATATTTGTAATTTTTTATTATATATTTATATATTTTTTATAATATATATTGTAAAAAATAAAAAACCAATGAACCAAATCAACGGTTAACCGAACCGGTCAACTGGTTAATCGATAGGTTTCGATTACAAATTTTCCACAAACCGGTACTGGATATTAACCGAACCATGAGCACCCCTGCCCTTCCCCCATTTTCACCCGAGCCCTAAACTTAAGTTCCATTCAAACTCCTGACATGAAAGCTTCATCGACAAATCAAGAAAGTTAGCTGCACTCTTAGAAGCTTCACCCACCACTCCTGCTATGGCCGTTACCGGTGCTAACACCGCAGATGACGACACCTAAATTTGGGATGTCGAAGAGGAGCCACCATTGTTTCTATTCATTGTCACACGCGGGAAGAAATCGTACTCCATTACCACGTCCCCCGCCACCAGCTTCCCATTTCTGTGAATTGCTATATACCACTTTCACTTCCTCTTTCATCAAATCAAAATCCCTATAATTAATTTAAGTTTTTAACATAACTTATATTTCTCTTAAAAATTTATAGTCTCATTTTAAGAAATAGTTTTCAGAAAAATTATAGCATGTTCGGTCCACTGTATCGCCTCATTGGAAGAAATAGTTTTCAGAAAATTTATAACACGTTAGGTCCATTGTGTCTTGCTCCCAAACCGAATCCCAGATCTGGACTCGCTCCATTCCTGTTCCATCCAATATTCAATGCTAGAAAATGATTGTCGTTGGCTAGCATTGCCCACGAGTATCTCGCTTCATTCCTGTTCCATCCTAGATTCAGTGCTAGAAAATGGTTGCTGTTCATCGGAATAATACGGCCATAGTTGCAAGCCCCCCATGGAGGCAGTAGGAACTTCCGAATCCCACTCTGTTGGACTGACCATTCAAGGACTGCAAGCTGGACTAACCATTGCTCTGTGACAATTGTTGCATATGTTGTATATGAAACTTTTTTAGTTATTCTTATAATTTTGTAACACACAATGGTCAAAACGTTCTCCAATTTAGTAAAAAGCTACTTTTTATAGATCTATGATAAAATGTTATTGTTTAGTATTAAAGTTTAAGCTTTTTTTCACAAAAAAAGTTGTCCCCACAAAAACCTAAGGCACTGCTTTGGTTAAAATCCCTCAAATATGAAAACTAGTAAGACATTCAAGGAGCATTCTTTTTTTGGATTTTGAGGGGGAAAGTTGGTCAATGGGATTTTAATTCCCATTGACCAAGAAATCTATATTCTTTTTTCAAATTTATGTGGGAACTAAGGAAAGTTTATTTTCCTAAGTATCACTTACCCGATGGGTAAATAACTTTCCCACCTAGGGGTAAAGTTGCCAATACTTGAATGGGACAAAATTATCCCTTTTAATAATGGATTTTTATGGCTAAAATGGTCATTGCCTTATTTACATGGGAAATAAAAGAGCATGGGTAAATGCACTCACCCAGGTAAGTCTTTCTTGGGAAACACTTATGCGGGTAAGACCATTTAATTGGGTAAGTAACTTACTAAAAAGCAAATGAGGCCTCAAAACCATATCTCACATCAATTTGAAGTTTACATATTAACTCAAATTAGGGTTCCTTAGCATAGTTAGATAAACACAAAGACAAGGCCTAGACCAAGGTTATTGACAAAGAGGTAGTGACCATAATGCAATCAATTGAAGGTGAGGAAGTAGGCAACAACGAAAATCAATTTCTTGGTGGTGGGAATCACTTTAAATCATCTTTAATGTTGGTAGTGAGGGCCTTAAGTAAGGGTAGGGGTGCAAGTTGGGTGGGTTGGGCCAGATTTATGGTCAACCTAGTCCCAACCCTAAGGTTTAGGCTTAAGATTCAAGTCTAAACCAAGTCTAAGGTCAAGCCCAATCCTCCCAACCCAAGCCTAACATGCATTGTAATTTGATGCATTCAGGTTGGGTTCAAGCTCAGGCTAGGCTTAGGTTGGTCAAGGAACCCACTCTAAAATTATACATAGGGTTGTTCATAAGAAAGCCCAACCCAACCAAACCGACCAATCCGGACAGACCCAACCCAAGTCAGCCGGGTTTTCATCAGCACGGGTCGGTTTCGGGTTGTGCAAATTCCTAAACAGGTGATTCGGGTCGGTTTCAGTTTTCACACAAGAAAACCGAAACCAACCCAAACCGAACCGACTTAGTTCGTAGTTCAAACATGAAGTTCCAAAGCCCATTAGGCCACCTAG